CGCTTGAGCCACATCCCTAGCCCTAGAGTGTTTTTTACTTATTTACTTATTACAGTGTTTTTCACTTATTTTATTTACAATACAGGCTCAATACATTTTGTTATTTTGTTTAGTTTATCTGCAAATGAAAATGATAAATTTAGAGCTACCTGTTGGTGGTAAATTGCCAGCAGCAGTGAGTGACAGACAAGCTGCTTGTGAAGCAAACATAAATCAAAAAGTATGAATCTGACACCACTTTGTCAGAGGCTTACACTGTAGTTCCGAGTAGTTACTTTGTTCTAACATTAGGTAATAATTGCTACTGAAATAATTCTTTTGCAAAAGTGTATGATTTCATTAATACAGTTTACTCACTGCACTTAAAAATTTAATTCTTTGTGATATGGCATAAATAAAGCATTATTTGTTAACCTCTTAGAAGTCTGAGATTTGGACTCTGGTCAAATTCCTGGTAACTTTAGTATGACAGTCTCATACTGCTTTTCTCAGTCAACTTTCATCTGATTTCACTGAAGTTGTTTACAAGAGTGTTTGTTTCTGAGCCTCCTCAATATTGGAGTCACTATTTCCAATACAATAATATTTAGTTCTTATCTCTATTATAGAATCTAGTTCTGGTTCTGCCGCTTAAAGTTAGAAGGGGAGTTAAGAGGTTATACACTTAGGATGGCCACTGAGACCTAAATTTCTGAGACAAGCAGTTAGAAAACTTCTACAAGGGTATGCACGAGTTAAAGTTTGTGATCTCTTCTTGGCAGATTTGATGCTTTTTCTCCATTCCTACTTTCTCTGTCCTGGAAAGGAGCTGCCCTCTGTTCTCCTTAGAGAGCTCATTTTTGGCTTGTTTCCCTACCTATCTTCATGACAATACAATGTGAGGGTAGCTTAATTTTAAGGGGATTTAATTGACAAACACTGAAAATGAGTAAACTTTTGTTACTGAGCCGTAGACATTTTGTGATATGTTTAGTACCCCTGTGAATAGGGAGAAATGTTTGATATGTGTTGAAATACTTTGCTCTCTTAATGTATAATTAACGCTTAATTATTCATCTTTCTTTGATGAATGAATTTATTCATTTGGCCCTTTTGTATAGTGTTTATTGTTTATGATGCTAATCTCATATCCTTACAGGTTTTCCAAATTAAAGAGAGATCAAACTACTTGATATATTTTAATGATGCAGATCTCTTTCTGAATTTTAGTTCTTTGGATGCTGATAATTTTTACATAGTTATAAACTATTTCTTCATGCTGCATAATTTTTATGTATTCCTTAAGTAGTATGTGGATAGAAAACGTTTTTATAGATTTGTCTTTTCCATAAGTATAAAAAGTAGACTATAAAATAATATATGTGGATTAATAGTAATGGTATATAAATAACATATGCATTAAGAAATAGGAATGATAGGATAATAGGCAATATTCACTTTTTCGTGTGCTTTTCTGAGATGAAGATATGCTGTATTATTTTTCTGGATAAAAAAATTAAGAATGAAAATTATTTTTTTTTTCAGAGAGCTGTCTGTAATGAAAACTCATTTTGTTCCTGATTCTCATATATTAAAAATGGGGCTGGGGGGCTATAGCTCAGTTGGTACAGTGCTTTCCTCACATGTACAAAGCCCTGGGTTCAATCTCCAGCACCACAGGCAAAAAAAAAAGTACTTTTAGCCAGGTGCAGTGGCACATGCCTATAATCCCAGCAGCTTGGGAGGCTGAGGCAGGAGGATCGAAAGATCAAGATCAGCCTCAGCGATTTAGCGAGGCTCTCAAAATAAAAAAAATTAAAAGGGCTGGGGATCTGGCTCAGTGGTTAAGCATCACTGTTCAATCCCTAGTACTCAGGGGTGGGAGGAACAGTATACTTTTATGGATGCATTTGTTCATCATTAGTATGAATATTCTCTCTTGGAGGAATGTATTTATTGCCAAAGCTTAAAAGCAATTTTATGCTCCTGGGGACTCCTTGTTTGTTCATTGAAGTTTGTAGCTAAAGGAGACTTAAAAATCTTTCCTGATTCTGAACTGCAGTAACCTTTCACCTGTCTTTGCCTTATCTGTTTTTTCCACTAATTTGTTTCATATCTTTTTTTTTTTTTTGGTACTGGGGATTGAATTCAGGGGCACTCCACCACTGAGCCACATCCCTAGCCCTATGTTGTATTTTGTTTAGAGATGGGGTCTAACCCAGTTGCTTAGCATCTCACTAAATTGCTGAGGCTGGCTTTGAACTCGAGATCCTCCTGCCTCAACCTCTGGAGCCTCTGGGATTACAGGTGTATGCCACCATGCCTGGCATTGTTCCATATCTTGACAATAAACATATGTGTATAATCTTAAGGAAACACTCATTTCACATTTAATTAAAACTTTATTGTATGTATTGAACATTTACTAGAGGTGTTTTACTGAAAATATTAATATGATCATAGTTTAAATGTGCCATTTTGTGAAGACACTCAATATATGGTAAGTTGTAAATTACTTGTGCAAAATTATTATGGATTGTTTATTTGTAAGGATGATGGTTTGTCTAAGGATGCTTCTGAATTTTTATGCTTGCCTGTTTTTTCATATAAGTTGTGTGTGAATTCTATTTTCAATAAATTATCTCATTTTAGAGTCTCTTAAACATTTAGATATCTGTTCCAAGGTCCTTTTCACTGAATTCTTATTTACAAACTTTAGGTCAAAATCCAAGACTAACACTTATAAAAAATACAGGATATTAAAAATTGTCTCCAGAATCAAAGATCTTGAAATTCTCTTTTTTAGATCTTTATGAATTAGCTTTCATTTGAATTTTATTAATTTGATTTACTGTGCCTATTTACTGCTTTATTTTATACCTATTTTTCTGGCTATATTTAAAAATTAATGTTCACAGTTGATCTGATATAATTTAAATGTGTTTGTGAGGTTTCAATTACTGGCACTTTAATTTTTAATCACCATTTTAAAAGAAAGACTTTTTAAAAATTATAATTTTGTTAACTCATTTCTTTTTGGGGGGTGAGGGGGCACTGGGAACTGAACCCAGGGGCGCTTAACCATGAGCCACATTACCAATTTTGTTAACTCAAAAATGAAGTTATTAGGAGAAAACCTGCCATTGGGTCCCCTCTTGACTGTAAGAGTTCTGTTCTTCAATAAATTCTACTCTTAGAAAAAACAAAAACCAAAGTTATCTTACTCAATAAATTGAAGTCCCTCTAGTAAAATGACATGCCATAAACAGTTTTTTTTCTAGGAGAGGCTTTTGTGCTGGATTTCTCAGACCATGGTTCTTTTTTGAGACATGCAAAAGCAGTTAAACAGCCACTCTTTTGAAGATTTGGGGAGGAGGGAAACTTATATTTTAAAAATAAATATATACTTTAAAGTAAAATTTACAAAGTGTGAGAGTGGGTAGAGCGCTTGCCTAGCATGTTCATGGTCCTGGGTTCCATCCCCAGCAAGGGTGTGCAGGTGTCCATACAAAAACCAGCCGAACACCAACACCTCTGTGTGTATGTGTGTGTGTGTGTGTGTGTGTTTAAAGATAAATCAGGAGCACTCAGAGAACTTTTATCATTATAGAAAGCACCATTGATGGATACCTTCATATTCCTCAGATTATTTACAGTTACTTCCTGGTGTAGAAAATTCTGGGAAACCACTTTAATATGTGGAATTGTATGCCTGCTAAAACATATTAGTTATATAGTCATGCTTATTTTGGTTGAGATAAAAAGGTGGTAAAAAGAATAGGAATTTCTTTTTTGTTTTTACATTTTTAAAGGAAAATTTCAGATGTATGTAAAGATAGATGAGCACTATGTCAGTCTCCCATGTAATCATTGCTCACCTTCAACAAATATCAACTCTTTCCAGTCTTTAGAAATTTAATTTTATATATATTTGCTAAGATTTGCCAAGATAAGCATCTGTAAGGTCAAGGTACTAACATCAGAAGCATTTCTGAGCAAAGATGCTGCATGCAGTTGGTGGGTGGGTCTGACTGTGTTCAGCTGTTGTATAAGCTTGCAAAAATAGTATCATCTTGACTTTCATCTTTCGGTTGTTCAGAGGTAGCAAGCATATTTCTTTTTAACCCCTGGAAAAATGCCAAAATAATTTGTATTGTTATCTCCATCTTTGGCACCTTGATTCTAAATAATCTATGAATAAAATTAATGAGTTGATATTCTGAGCCTATTGGAATTAGAAAGAAGGAAAAATCCTCATTTTTAATTTTTAACCTTTTTGAGTAGTACCTGATTGAAACTTTGGAGACTATTAAGTCTGTTTTAGTGCTCTCTTCATCACCAGCACTACACTAAAATTGGAATGAATACAGAGAAAAGAAAGATTAGCATGGCCCCTGTGAAGGGTGACATGTAAATTTGTGAAGTGTTCCATCTTTTTGGAGATTGAAATTGACCAAATTATTTTCATGATACAAATGTGCCACAGTGTCTCCCACCATTTTATATAATTATAATGTGTCAATTAAAAATTAATTTAAAAAGTCTTTTACTTTTCATCTGTTTTGAGATACGTCTTACAAGCATCAGAACATTGAGTCAGACAGACTTGGGTTCAAATCTCAGCCGGCTTTAGGTAATACTTACCCTCTCCAAGTCTCAGTTTTTTCAGTTGTAAAATGGGATCTAGTTTGTTGTGCGAATTAAATAAAATAATGCATTTAAGATTGATTATTTAAAAATACCATTTGAATTTTGTGATTAAATAGGAGTGTATCCTAAGTTCAAGGCCTAAATGAATTTGTACAGCTGGAATTGACAAGTATTGTTAACACCAGGCCACCCAGAAAGGAGAGCTAATCTTTGTTTTGTCGTATCTGATTTTCTGACTGATATAAGATCTGAAGATGTAATGGATAATCTTTTTAAGATAGAATATGTTCTATTATGTCTGAACAAATATTGTATTGAAACAAAGCATTGAAAAAAAATAATGCCTTAAAATTATTTCTTACCAAATACAGCAAACACTGGCCTGTTCTATTTTAACTGCACTATTGAGTGAATTCTCAAGTTCAAGTAAAACTAGCAACATTGGACTGAGTATGGAATTCCATGGTAACTGCAAGAGAGTATTTCAGGTATTAGCATTTTTGTTCTTGTGTTTTAATTATTGGATCGTTTTTGTTTGTTCCTAATAAATGAGAACATTTATGTAATTGAATGATTGCTAGTATCCAAGGATTTGTGTTGTGATTTCATAGAATATAGTGAAGTGATAAGTTTGGGCAATGTAGTTGACAGTTTTAAAAATTACTTATTTAATTCTAGTCTTGAAACAAAACAGAAGATATGACTATAAAGATGCCTTATTTTGTTATTAACATGTTTATATATAAGTGATTCAATTGATAGGATTCTGCTGGTCTTAAAAATAGGACTGGCAGAATGCCAAAGAGGGCCATGTATTTAAAATGTTATTGCAGATGGTGTGGGCTCTTTGTCTCTCTAGTATGTATTGTTTGGCTCTGGAGTAAAGTTATGTGAAGGCATTGGCTTAAATCCTAGGGCTCTGCACTATAGCAACTGACTCCAGCTCTGCAGTAGTTGTCAAAGACTCCTCTCTATGGAGTAGCATTTATATTATAGTAAAACGTGTCACTTGAAAGCATACTCTAATGTAAAAATTCTGAGTAGTCCTCAAGATGGAAAACGTTCTTAAGGAAATAGTGTCTTCCAGTGGGAATTTTAAGGTTCTTATTTGTTTTATTTTGTGGTTCTAAAAGGGAATGCATTTTAAATAAGTTTTAGATACAAAAATGCTTGTGATTTATTGATGATAGGAAGAAGACCTTCGTCAGATCTTCATGTTAACTGTTGAAGTTCTGCAGGAGTTCAGCAGGCGGGAAAACCTCAATGCGCAGATGTCTTCAGTGTTTCAGCGTTACCTTGCACTCGCCAATCAAGTCTTGAGCTGGAACTTTCTTCCTCCAAATTATATCCTTTTAACAATTGAACAGTATTTTTTTGTGCTAATATTCATGGATAACTTAATTATAACTCAAAAATCATTTGTCTGCAGGTTTTATAAAATGTGTTGTTGAAAGAAAAGTTTATTTTTCTTTAAGAAATGAAGTTTAAATTTGTTTTATCATGCCACATTACAGTGGACTGCTTAGAAGATTTTAAATTCCATTTACTATTTTATAGAAGAGAGTAGAATACATGGAAGCATTTGGTGACTAATGGGGCTATTGCTAATTTAAGGAGGAGCAGTAATCCTTGACAATTAAAAGGGAAAAGGTGGTAAAAGCATTTTTATTAAGAAACAACCATTTTCTCCCTGTATTTGTGATTATATTAAATTTTAAGTCTACTTTGGTTAACTTTATGGATATTATTCAAATATAGATATAAGTTAGTAATATGTTTATTCTTCAAAGGCCTTACCAGTTTAAAAAGATGAATATTTCATATTTAGGAAATTATTTATAATATAAAATAAATTTAAATGTGTTATAGGTACATACATCTGCTTTTTAAAATCAGTTTCTAAAGTAGAAAAATTTCTATTTTAGAAAGCAGTTTCTTAAAGTTTATAATTTGCTATTCTAGAAAATCTGCTGCCTTTTGGTAGACTGAACAGTAATATATAATGGCTACCCATTTGTAGCATAATTCAGTCAGACAAATCTGGGTTTAAGCCTCAGCTGATGTTAGGCAAATTACTGAACCACTGAATCTTAGTTTTTAATCAATGTAAGATGAAGATATGGATTGTTGTATGGTTTAAATGATATAGTACATTTAAAACATCCAGGATTAGCTACTGTTGAGATAGCATCTTGAATAAAATAATTCATCGGGTAACTAGCTATGTCATGATTCTCCTTGATCTAATACACTTTTATATGGTATGGAAAATTAATGTAACTTGTTTTAGATGTATTTAATCAGGCCTTTCTTAGGGATCTGGGGCTGGGATTATGTTCAGGAGAAAAAGTCTGGTGATAAGCAAATAGATATTAAGTCATATCAGAGATTTTGGATGAAACTCATCTTTATTCTATCAGAGCCAGGAGCTACTACATTCACGTACATAGAATTTTAACAAATTGTGAAAGCAAAACTGGGATTTGAAGGCATGTGGTGGGTCATAACCTTTTCTTTTATTTTCAAGTTACTGTATATATGTAATAGAAAACTATGAAAGGTTGTATGGGGTAAAGTGTCTGTGACTTCTCACACAGAGTTACGGACAGTCAATAGTGACTGCTTTGAGGGGTGAGGCTTACACTGAGTTTAATCACTTTCTCCTTTGTCCCTTATTCTTTCATCATTTTCCTCCTAATAACCAATTTTGTATTTTTAGTATGTTAACTTAATTCTTTTTAAGAGGCAAATATTTTCTTAGCCTTGTTTTTTTTTTTTTTTTTAAATTCCTCTTTGAGTTTGCATTTTTATTTTTGCTCCAGATTATGTTTAGTTTTGTTTTTAAAAGTTAAGGCAGACTTTGGTTATAAGTTTAGGGATCATTGTAATGGTATCTCGAAGTTGGGGAGAGAGATAATACTTCCTGCTCTAGTTTTTTTTGGAAAGAAAAAAGATTGAAAAATCTTGGGCAGATTTTAGAAGTATCAGGCTATAATGGAGCTATCAAAACATTAATATATATATATGAAGGGAAATCAATGAAAGTTGCATTGCATATAAAGTCCTTAGATAAAGCTTTGGAAAACCTGTCCTCTGAAAATGGTAAGCACTATTGCAGTGTTGCCAAAGAAGTAATTCCTTGTTTAAAGAAAGTTTATCTTGATCTTAAGGATGGTCTTCTACTGGCTTATGAGTGAGTGCTTATGTGACCGTAAGTTCCATTTGTTGGCAAACTGCACTACAATCAAGTTTTCCTTCCTTTGAGTGGATTGGCTTTAAGCATACGAGAAAGAACTTAGCAATAGCTGCTGTTGCAGCAAATTAGGGAAAAATCATTATCAAGAAACCCAGTTTTGACTAATATCTAATTTTAGCAATTATCTGGCGATCACCCGTTTGATCATTAAGGAAAGTTGAATAATTATTTAGCTTTTGTACCATGGAGAAGGATCTAAGATTGAAACTTAGAAAAAAAATGGGTTCAGTTGATGATTTTTTTAAAAGGTGATTTGTCTTTTAGGGTAGACATGAATACTAAGAAACCTTGTAAAATGTGTTTGTATATTTTATGTCAAATATATTTGATCATTTAGAATGGTATCATGTTAATTGGAACTGTTGTAAATTGCCTACTTAAATCTGTCCTCATAATTTTTTGTAATTGCTTTCTTTTTTGTATTCTTACTTTGATGTAATTTGAAGCATAAAGAATAATTCTGAGAACTTCCATTTTTGCCAGTTGTTAACATTTTATTCCATTTATTAGTGTACACAAATGTACATTTTTATGTATATGTACATATATATTTAAATATACCTTTATTTTTTCTTTGAACCATTTGAGACCAATTGCAGACATTATGCCTATTTACCTGTGAATATTTCACTGTACATTTTTCTGTGATCAAGAATTTTAAAGGAGCCAGGCGTGGTGGCGCACACCTGTAATCCCAGCGCCTCAGGAGGCTGAGGCAGGAGGATCAAGAGTTCAATTCCAGCCTCAGCAACAGTGGGATGCTTAAGTAACTCAGTGAGACCCTGTCTCTAAATAAAATACAAAATAGGGCTGGGGATGTGGCTCAGTGGTTGAGTGCCCCTGAGTTCAATCCCCCATGTGTGTACACACACACACACACACACACTCACACACACTGAGTTTTAAAGGGGTTGGTGGTATGGCTCAATAGCAGAGTTCATGCCTAGCAATTGTTTGGTTCTGGATTTAATCCCCAGTACTTAACAACAACAACAAATTGTTTTGAAATTGTACTGTTTTAAGAAGTTATGAGAATGTCTTGCAAGATTGTAGGTGCAGTTTTCAATACAAGAAGTTATAGCTTTGATAAAATACCATTATCTGCCTTACATTCTGTGTTCAATTTTTGTCATCTGTCTCAATATGCATTTGCCTAAAAATATATATTTGCCTATTCTGGACATTTTATGTATATAGGATCTCATAATTTATAGTCTTGGTCATTGGCTTAACTTAGTGTAATGTTTCCAAGTTCGTATTGTATATTCTTATCATAGTATATAGCTTACTCTTAGACGTAGTGTGCATCTTTAATTACTATTCTGTTCCTCTTTAGTAACACATAGTATTTCATTTTCTGGGAACCACTTTGTGTTTATTATTAATCAGTTGATGGGTAGTTGGGTTGTTTTCACTTTTTAACTATTAAGAATAATGTTGCTGCTGGGTTCATTTGAGTACCCTTCTATTCTCAGCTACTCAGAAAGATGAGGCAGGAGAATTGCTTGAGCCCAGAAGTTTCATGTCAACCTGGGCAACATGGGGAGACCCTGTTTCGTTAGCACACAAACAAAAAGAATGCTGTTAAGAGTATTTGTGTATGATTTTCATGTGAATTTATGTTTTTGTTTCTCCTATATGTACCAAGGAGTGGAATTGTTGGGTCATATGGTAATTCTATGTGTAACCTTTTGAATAATGGCCAAGTTGTTTTTCAAGGTGGTAGTGCTACATTCTCATTGCCATAGGTGTTATATGACATTACTAATTTCTCCACATCCTAACCAATTCTTTTTTTTAATATTTATTTTTCAATTGTAGTTAGACTCAATACCTTTATTTTATTTATTTTTATATGGTGCTGAGGATCGAATCCAGGGCCTCTCACGTGCTAGGCAAGCGCTCTACCGCTGAGCCACAACCCCAGCTCCTAACCAATTCTTATTACCTTTATTTTTGTTTATAGCTATCCTAGTTGGTGTGAAGGGGTAGCTCATTGTATTTTTGATTGCAATGCTCTAATGATAAATGAGCTTGAGTATCCTTTCCTGTGGTTATTAATCATTTGTATATCTTTGGAGAAACATCTCTTCAGGCCCTTTTTACTTTTTAATTGGTTTATTTGTATTTAAAAATACTGAGTTGCAAGAGTTCCTTTATAATCTAGATGTGTCTAGATATGTCTGTCAGCAGATGTGTGATTTTCAAATATTTTCCATTTTGTCAGTTGTCTTTTTTGCTTTTTAATTGTATTTTATGAAGCCCAGAAATTTTTAGTTTTACGTAATTTTTAAATTTGATGTCATATCTCAAAAACCATTGCTTTGTCCACAGTCACAAAGATTCATGTTTTTGTTTTCTTCTGTGACAGACTTCTTATTTGTCTTTGGTCCACTTTGAGTTAACTTTTATGTGTGGTGTGAGGTATTAATTCAACTTCAGAGTGTCTCAGCAGATAACTGACTATTGAACAGAAAGATTAGAAGAGGTTGGGAAAGTAAGAAATACCTATGGTGCCATGTTGGTCGCTGTCTCTGTTAATATATGTAATACATGCATAAGTTAAGATGTAACTTAGTTGCTCTAACGCTAATTTTCAATTCAAAAATGCAACCATTTGCATTTCAGGAGGTAATTATTTGAATCACTGGTCTATGAGGTTAAATATGCATGTTCAACTTACCTTTATATGTAGGAATTGCACAGTATTTGTTGGTGAATAAAATAATTTGACTGTAGACCAGCATCTATATTAGATTGATTAGAAGGAAATTTGAGGACTTAGCTAAAGATTTTGGAAATTTTTGATGGAGAAGTAGTGTGTAAGTGTGACTATAAAATGTCATTGGGAAAACTAGTTGAAGCTGACTTGGCCAGTGGAACTGGGATATGCAGAGAGATAGTAACAAAAGAATGTAAGGATTAAATATTTAGATATTAACATTTAAGGGCCTTAATGCTGTCATATTTAAATTTTGTTTTATGATATTAGGCTAAGATTTATGTAGATACAAAATTTTACAAAAGAAATCATAGTTCTCTAGTAGAAGAAGCCATGTGTTGGTATGTGTTGCCAGGCTTTCAGCTG